TTGCTGTAAGCAATACATTAATTTGTGCAGAATGGCATAGAATGAAGCAAATTGTGACCGAATTTGAATGCAGTGGCATTTCTATTGGCATTGTGGGTACCGGATACTATACGCACCATGTTATGTTTTATCATATTTTCTTTATGTTTTTAGGGTTATTGAATTTCAAAGCTCTGACGCCAATGCACACAAGAATAAACAAGGTGAAAAATGGGTTAAATGGGCATGTTTAGAAGGAAGTTGTATTTTGTTATATTTGTCTCGATAGAATAGATTAGGGCGCTTGTAGGATAAATGAAATAATGTTTATAAATGAATCTTTGCCACGCATGCATATCGTATTCAGGTAAATAATAACAGTATCACTAACCTGATTGAAATTGCCCTGTGCTGTGAAAATTGTTTAGAAATTGATAGTTTACATAAAGATAAGGTAGCAGTCTGCAGCTTCCCTAGGTATATCGATAATTAGCCATTGCAAAAATCCAAAATAATTATGCGTTATACTGTCCATGTATTTCTATGAGCATATATTATTGTTATTATTATTAATAATAACAGTAGTAATTAAAAACAGACAGGAAATGAAAGTAGACAACTTAATTTTTTATGTTTATGGAAACTTTCATTACACCCGCGTTCACCAAGCTGTCTAAATAGAATAGGGGGCCTCAATAGGTCGTAATATGACGAGGAGGGGTACAAAGTTGGCATCATGAACACTCGCAATGATTGATTATAATTATAACTAAGAATGTGTTGTGTATAATTATCATTGTTATCACCTGATTCGCACAATCACTGTGACAGTTATGCATCTCTTCAAAATGATGTCGAAATGTTTCGGCCTGCTTTATTTATTATGTACGTTGGTAATTTTCCAGATGCTACGAAGTCGTTCATATGCTCTTTTGTAAGATATCTAAGTTAACATCAAGCCTACTGACACGTATTCCTCGTAATTGTATTTTAATCAAATAATTTCAAACTATAAATAGACGGTTTTAAAAGTAACGCATTTCTAAATGCCACGTGACATGCGTATTCCATATCCCATATTGTATTGTTACGAATAAATTTGCAATACTGCATGAAACTTGGAAGTATTGGAAGTACAAAATATCTATTATGCCTTCCCAGAAAACAACATTTAAGTATTTTTGACGCGAGGGACTGGTTCATATTATTTTCTTCAGGCAACTCTCAGACGGCATCATTGTTACTTACCTGTCTGGTGCATCCCCGTGACTTTTTGATTGTTGTCAGTCGTTTTTTTTCTGTTCATAATCTCATGGATATAAACCAAGATATAGTTCGAGTATGTTATTTTTTTGTGTTAACAAATATATGCTATTGTTTTCTGTTTTGTTATTAACTTGCAAAATGCAAAACGATCTACGACTGGGTATGTTATTTTCCCTTTTCTAAATATGATGTTAAGTTTACACGTGCACCTGCCTTTTACGAGTTCATTGAGCTGCGTTTAGTCGCATAAGTTGGTACACCATCATACATTTTATAAAAAAAACATACTCACATAATGCTTAAACACAATAATATTTCACCACGTGTTTATTACCTGAATTCTCTTCTATAAAGAACCCGAATGACGCCTAGAAAATGAAATGTAGGCGGACCAACATATGTCAGAGTTGCGTCAGCTCAGTTGTGTCATCTCCCGTTATGCATACAAGAACACGAACATATATACATGAATTTCTTATTCATTTCTTAGGAAAAACTGGAATATTGAATCCGAGAATTTCATAATCTAGTCTATAGTGATCAATAAGTTGATCAATTAATTTTTGTGACAGAGTTGACATTGTTTCGTTGAATTTACTCTTGCCCCTTGTTCCGTGAACTTCTGGATAATGAAATGAGTCACCAAATGCCAATTGTACGAAGTATGGTGCGTCGTCAGCTAAGTGGTTCATGTGTCCAACAAACGTGTAATTAAATTCACATATTCGTGACATTATATATTGACGTTGCCAATGCCAAGATTGTGCCGGTTTTTGACCATGATCGAATAATCATCTGGGCAAGTTGACTGAAAGTCAAGTACGGTTTATTATTCATAGTGGCATTCACGTGTCCTTTTCTCATAAACTCATAGTAGCGACTGAAGTATTGAGTGGAAGACATTGAGTAGGGAGAAATCACAAAGTGGTAAAACGATACAAGTCGTTCCAGGGGTTCTCGGAAGAACACTCCTCTAACGTACTGATCAAACTCGGAAGACGTCAGAGAGTTGAGTCGACGTTTGTTTTCACCACCCTCACATGTCGGGTCAATTTCACGCATAAATCTTCTCCAAGTGCCTGACCCAACTTTAGCCATGACATTAATTATAACCTTGTATTTGTTTGATACTACTCGAGTTGTGCTAGTGTCATTATACACAATATTGTGTTTTGCGCATTCAATTGCTGCTCTCTCAAGTCTTTTCTGACTGGCTTCTCCTGGGTCATAGGTGCGGTCCACAGGATACTCTGTGGAATCCTACATGAATATATAACATACAAAGCATTGAACTGCTTTACAGAAGATTCTGATGTATCAGTTATTTTCAGTGCAATTCGCGATCAAATGAACAGATTTGCCAAGTTGGTGCAATGTATCCAGACACGCAATGATACTTAGTACATTAATAAATAAGGTGTTTAGTAACTGGCTTATTCTTAGTAATTAGGCACATTTATGTTTCACAAAATGTTATGATATCTGGTTTATCCGATATCTCATAAAACATTTATACAGTCACCCTGTGCATTACCTTTATGTTTTCTGTTACTTGATTCTTAACAATCCAATCCGCGGCACGTGGACTGTTGTTGTCCTTGCCCACAAATCCTGTTGAAAGACAGCAATATATTTCCTGTAATTATAGTATTGTTGTTGTTAAATATGTTATAAATATGCGAATATGTTAATACTGTGTGAAATATGTTAAATGATATTCCAGGGTTGTATATTTCTATGTTCTTCTCGTCTTGAGTATTGCATTCAGCTCCATAATAGATATATAATATTCATTCTGGAACAATTACTGGAGAAAATAAAAAACATGCTAAACAGTGTACAAAATATGGAACAATATTCAAATAAAATAAATTATATATAATAAAAAAGTGTTCCTTATAGTATTTGTATATAAATACTGAATGTCACTGTCTCTGCGAAAACAGGAGAGACATGATTTTGAGAGACATTTCAGTAGATCGCACGCTACCACGGAGAACACTGTATGTATATATGTATGTATGAGTGTTATAAATTAAATTTCACTTACTTTCAATAACAGTTAGATATCTATTCGGAATTATCATCACCGCTATTATCGAGATACAGAGAATTATAATGAAAAACAGCTTCTTTGTATGCATGTTTCTGTAGTCAGTAAGACGTGTACGGTGCTATCTAAAAATGTGAAAAAATAAGTCAGAGAATGGTGTCCTTGGAAAGCCAAATGTTACAAAACAAAACTAGAAAAAAAAAACACATATTGACTTGATGCTTAAACACAATAATATTTCACCTTGTGTTTATTACCTGAATTCCTTTTACAGAGAACCCAAATGACGCATAGAAAATGAAATGTAGGTGGACAAACATATGTTAGAAAGAGTTTTGTCAGAACAGTTGTTACGAGAAAATGTTAAATTATCAAAACTTCACCAACGTTTTTTAAAATCGTATTTATGTAAAA